CGTCGGAACGAAGTTACGGAAAATCAATTAACAAACGGAGACGTAACATAACTTTATCAATGTTGCTGTGACTAAGATAAAATATAAACTATTGAGTTTAACTTTTAGAATTCTAATGTTTTTTATTATTATTAAACCACCCCTTTTTTCAGTCTTTCGATACTTTTTAAAGCTGTTAGGAAATTGATTCATTTCATACCGATGCTTAAAAATATAAGTCAACATTTGGTAGAAATACAGTAAAGCAAATACCTATAGTAAAAACCATTGTAATGATTAAGGTTTGGAGACGGCTTGAATGGGTAATGAAAGAAACCTTAATTCAAATGTACAACGTTTCGACTAGCTTATGATATAAACTTGTCAAACGTTATACATTTGTAATAGTTTCTTTCACTACCTATTAAAACCGTCTCCAAACTATTTTATAAAAAGTGGGACGTCGTCAGCAAAATTGTAATTATTAACTTACAGAGTAGGCTGAGAAGCACGTCTTCTTTTTATCTTTCAAACATAAGATTTTTATTAAAAGTAAAAGGATGAAAATTTAGTTTATTAAACTAATAAAGTGTATGTCGTGGTAATTTGATTTATAAAGTAGTACATCGTACAAACGCACTTTCAAGTAGTTCCATGCGTCGCTAATTTCACTAAAATACAGCTACAGATGGTAGGTTTAAAAGTTAACGCCTGTTAAGAACAACAGAACGTATAATGCATGTTAACTGAGACTCAGCTGTCATAGGAGGACAACGTGTTTGCGCAAGTTTCATTATGTACTTCAAATGAGCATAGGGTTGCTTTGTCCGCCATGTTTCGAAGATATTTATATTTATAATACACGCTGTCGATTTTATTACAAGCGTCAAAAAATATTCTTATAATTCTGGGAAAATGCTTTACTTTGCCGGTTTCACAAATCAAGCAATGGTTTCACTTTCAGCAATTTCGCTTTTCTTGAAAGGGAAATTTGTTGTGAATAAGCCTAAATTTCCAAAAGATTTGTGTGATGTCATGGAAGACTAAGAAAAGTAAATATATTTTTTATTAAATTATGATGTATTATTTAATGTACTTTGTCAGTTGATGTAACGTTACACTCGCGAAAATGTTTACTAAGTGCAAGAACACTGGGCAGGTGCCAGAAGATGGCTAATGATAGTAATGTTACACCTAATTCTACTTGTAACTTCTACCGTTCTAGTTCTAAATCTAACTCTAAGGGAGGTGATGATTGTCCCAGTAATTATAGGCTTATTACTAGTATTAGTTTGCATCGTTGGTGGTAAAAGTTTCTGGAAAGCCTAACAAAAGATGCTTTGCAAAATCATTTTGAAAAGTTTAAACTTTTGTTGGACAGCATGGTTTCACTTTCACTAGAGCCAGGAGAAAATGTTGTCTTACTAATCTTTTGACAGTTTTTGAAAAAATTCTGCTTATGTAGATAAGGGCACTGATGTAGTTGTGGTGTATCTGGATTTTGAGAAAGCATTTAACAAGATGCCACCTAAAAAGTAAAAGGCTTGTTGAAAAGTTATTTCTGTGGGTGTGGGAGAGATAGGTTGGTTCATTGAATAGAACACTGGTGGCTGAAAGAAAGCACAGAGTTATAAATTAATCTCAGTCAGACTGGATTAATGTCACAAGTGGGGTACTCCATGGCCTTTTTTGATTAAATTTGTGGTATAGATGAAGGAGTGGTTAATAGATTATGTAAATTTGTTGATAATATTAAAGTTTAGGATATTGCTTACTGTTAGATGGATGGTGCTGCTTTACAAAAATATTTGGTGAGTTGTGTGAATTAATGGCAGATGGCTTTTAATCATAATAAATGTGAGGTATCACAATTTGCGTGTGAGTATAATTTTGTTGAAATTAACTTTAACAATAACAGTGTTATGGAAGAAAAAGATCTTGGTGTTTTGGTTGATCAGTTGCTTAAGCCATCCAAGCAATGTAGTGTAGCCAGTGGTAGGCCAAAGAGAGAATTATTGAGTACAAGTCTAAAGAGGTTACAATATTATTGTACAGATGTTTAGTTAGACAGTGTTATGTCTATAGACCTAAGACCATTGGTCCTAAAACAACTGGTTTCTTCCTTGGGATGGGGGGCAAGGGTTTACTGTTGTTCTGTAGTGAGTTAGTAAGTTGGGAAAAGCAAGTAACAAAGGTTAGTAGTAATTCAAAAAAGTGAATAGTCCAGAAAAGCAAGTAATTAGTTATTCTTTTTTTGATTATCATATATCAAGTTGTTAAAAGAACAAACAGAGGGCATTTCTTATCCTTCTTTCAGTTATTTAATCAGTTCTGTGAAATAATTGCAAGATGATCATTCAGTGTATCTTTTATGTGTTATCTCTGATTTGATATTGTTTAAAGTAAAGATACTTCTCTCTCTACTAAGTAAAATCAGTATTTTGGTCTTCATCCCAGTAGAGACTGTGGTTATATCTAATCAATGGTTACATTAGAATTTCTGTATAAATCTTGAATGTGTTCACTTTATACACCACAAAGCATACATGGTATTTCCATGCTTTTGCTACTTGCCTTTTTCTTTTCTTCCTTCTTTTTTATTTCTCTTGCTTTCACATGTTTAGTTACACTCGAGAATTTCACCTTATGTTAATATAATGAATTCCTATGAGAACCAGTGGACCTTAGGATCAATGGAACCTAGGACTAGGGGTGTTTAGGACTATGGAGCAGTTTGTAATTGAGCCACATTTGAAGTACCATGTTCAGTCTTGGGATCCGTACCTTAGAAAGGACTTAATTGTTGAAAGGATTCAGATGAGGGCTACTAGAATGATACCTGGGATGGATAGTTTTTCATGCAAGAATAATTTAAGATTTTTGAAATTTTTCTCTTGAAGTTTTAAAGATTATTTATAAGGGAATTGGTAATGTTGATGCATCTCCTCTTTCGTACTTAATGGGAAAATGGTAGGATTAGGGGACAAAAATATAAATTTTGGCAAGGTAGGAATCACAGGATGCCGCTCAGTGGACCCTGGACAACCTACTGCATATTATACCCTCCTTTGGGATGCAATTCGCTCCCTCAAAATGTAAAGTGTTACTTCAGAATATTGATACACTAGCGTCGCCCCTTGTGCTGGGAAACGAGGAATTGAGCGTGGTGGATCACTTCACTTACTTGGGAAGTTGCGTGAGCTCGGAGGGAAACCTG